CCACTGAATACACAGTGTGTCCTTAAGGAAATTATTCCCCTAAAGTACCCGAGGTGCTGGAATATATCCTCCCAGGATAGAACGATTTAACTCACCGGAGTATTGGTACCAAAACGCCGGTGAACAGCGAGCCACTCGAAGGCTGTAAAACACACTGGAATTTTTGTTGCAGAAGAAGAAGAAGAAGCTCAGAAAATTTCGTAAGGAAAGATTCTAGGATTCAAACTCTATTTATAGAGTTGCTGACATTGTTTCTGAAAAGGTTTGCAACCTTTCAGAAACAGCCATGGCTGTTGGAAAAGGGTTGTTTGAAATATTGCGGGAAAAATGTATTTAAAATAATCCGGGAAAGAAACGGGCCTGACCGAACCGAGTCGCGGGTCATGGGTTATTCCGGATTGAATTTTTGAATTTTTCGTTAATTATTTAATTAATTAATTAAATAATTGAAATGAATTTTGTCCAAAAAGATTAATCAATCAATCGATCTTTGACCAAATCCAAATCCGAATCCGAAGTCGAAGCCGAGCGAGCGACGACGACGATGGCGCGAGGCTTGCCTTTTTCTTAACTCTTTAAGAGCTAGAAGAAGAACAATTATATATATACCCATCAAAAACCTTTTCTTCCTCCGATATGGGACAATGTCCCTTTGCCAAGGGAAACTCAAATATTTCATTTTCCATCCATTTCTCATTCACCCTCTTTAAGCTATACAAGCTTAAAATCCCAATATATAGAACATATAAGGACCGTATAGTTATACCAGAAGAAGTGATGACCACCTAACATAGGTTGGTGGTCTTGGATGTAAAACGCGAGGCGAGAGTGAGAGTGAGAAAGGAGACAACTTGCAAGTAATTGAGAATTCAGTGGTGNGACAACTTGCAAGTAATTGACAATTCAGTGGTGGGCATTAAAAGGCGCTAACTAGTTAGCATTTCAAGAAAAACTACGGGAGGAGGGAGCATGGGTCTTAGAGGGGGATTTTGACATCCTATGGGAAGAAATGTCAGGTTCAATTAAAAGAGTAGCAAACAAAGTGTTAGGTGTCTCTAAAGGTATAGGACCTCAACCTCAAGAATCTTGGGGTGGAATGAGAAGGTGCAAAGATATAGGAAGTTGCCAAACGCAAAAGATAGAGAAGCCTTTGAAGAGTACAAGAGAGATAAGAGGGAGGCTTAAAATACTAGTAAAGCTCGAGTGAGATACCGATCACAAGAAAGAAAAAGCTCGCAGAGAAGCCCTAGATGGCTTTAATCAAAAGCTAGGGACGTAATTGGGGAGAAAGAAATGTTTAAACTGACGCGACTAAGAGAGAAGAAAAGTAAGGACTTAACTCAGGCGAAGTGTAAAAAATGATTCTCAACAAGTATTGACAGAAGATAATGAGATCCAGGAGAGATAAAGGGGCTATTTTGATAAATTTATTTAACTCAAACCCCGATAACAACATTCTAGATCTCCAAACATTTGTGCACGATAGAACATTAGCTACACTTGTAGAATTAGGCCAACAGAGGTAAGGATGCTATGAAATATATGAGGATTAGAAAAGCTTATGGTGCAAATGGTATCCCCATAGAGGTTTGGAAGAGTCCTGGAAAGGTTGGAGTAGGATAGCTTACCAAACTATTTACTGAAAAGTGGTAGGATGCCCGATGGGTGGAGAAAGAGTACCCTGATTTTACTTTATAAAAATAAAGGAGCATTGAAGTTGTGCAAACCTAAGTTGCTCGGACATGGGTGCGGGTGTCCGATACGGGTGCGGATCTAGAGGTCAGTCCTTCGAGATGTAAATTATAAGATTCGGGGATACGGATCCTACTATGGATACGGGTGCGGGGATCCGGCTAAAAATAATTCAAAAAAATAAAAATATGAAAATATCTCTTAATTATGAGAAATTTTGTGGAATACTTACGTATAGCTTGTAAAGTGTGGATTTCTTTTTTATTCTCAAGTTGTAGATAAGTGAAAGATTGATTTCCTAGATAAGGATCTGATTTCGGGAATCAAATTGTATCTTGTTTCGAATTTTTTCGTCTTCCGTGGTAAAAGTACCCAAATTTGTTTGACCAGATCCGGTACGGATCCCATACCCACACCCATACTAGTGTCATGTCGACAGGGGTGCCGTGTCGGAGCAACTTAGGTGCAAACTATCATGACATGAAACTTATGAGTCATACGGTGAAACTCTGGGGAAGAGTGATAGTTAGTAGACTTAGGGACACTGTAAGAGTGACAGAGAACCAATCTAGATTTATGCCCTATAGATCTACAATGGAATGAGGAGTCTATATTTTTGCTAAGGAGATTGATTGAAGTTTAACGTGAGAGGAAGAAAGATATGCATGTGGTGTTCAATGACTTATAAAAGGCATATGATACAGGAGAAAGATTCAGTGCAGTTCCAGCAGTTTTTATCTCATTCTTTCATCAGATTTCCTTTAAGTGCCTTTGCCATTCTCCAATATCATTAGCTGACATTCCAGTGTGAGAGCTGAGCAACTGTTTTAGAGTTTCCTGGTATACTACTTGATAAATGGTCCTCGTACCGCTCATCAAAGACCACAAGCACACTGTTCTGTCTTTACCTATCTCAATTTTACTAGATTTTTCAGCTTTGTGCTGCATGCCAATTCTTCCTGGTGGCTAGAAACTGCCAGCTCCTTCTCTTGCTTTATTAACTCGAGTGAAATTGTATAGGTTCTAAGTTTTTGTTTCCATTAAGGTGTGGTAAATACGACGTGGTTAATATGATTTGTTTAGCAACTCAGTACATGGAAATTTTGATAGTACATGCTATTTCATTCTTTCTGATAAATTTGATTTCCTGTAAGTGCTCTCTATGTTTAGATAGGCAAGCAAAATTTTCTGGGGGACTTGAATGAAAGTAAATTGTTTTTCTTTTATATGTAAAATTAAATCCGACCTGCAGCTACTGAAGCTCTGATATTTTCACCTTTCAAGAATTTCTTTACAAATCTGCAATAAGAAACCGTCTAAGTAAGCCTGTTCTTCTATCTAATTGCAGGGAAGACACAATGCATCAATCATTTCCGGATCAACGATAGCTGGTACCTTGTAGATTTACCAGGCTACGGGTATGTACTTCACTGCAGAATGTTTTAAAAAAGTTGTGTATACTTTTCCTGCAGCATTCGAAAGACTACTGTGAAATGTGATGCTCACATTCTGGCCTTGCCGATGCATTTTTATGATAGCTTATCCGATGGCTTTCTATAGTTGCATATTGAATAAGTAATTATTATCCCTAGTAGCTTGAGATGTGAGAACTCCCTACTCTATCATTCTAGGTCTTTCAGAAATGTTGGCTAAATTCACATATAGGAATTTTATTTCACGAAGAGGAAAATCTTGATTGCTTCTGTTTGTTAGAAACTGTGAATCAGGACCTTGCATGATGCTGCGATTTTGGATTAGAGACTATTGTTAAAACATTGACCTGAACTGAACAATTACTCATCATATTCTGAGAGCTTGATGCAAGGTTTTAGCCAGCTTGACTAGGTTTAGCAAGCTATCGAAGAGACAGAAGAAGATGTTCATAAATGCTTGAGCACCAAGCGGACATGTTCTTTAGAGCGACTTCATGCAACTGTTGAATTCCCTCTCTTCTGTGAATCCAATTCAAAACAAATTATTGTGCTCGGACTTTGTTTTGTATCTATTTTCACGATAATCAACTTCTCTACACCCCCTGTCTCTTAGTCTCTTCCAATCATATTTTTGCAAATTTCACTGTCTTTATCACTCTCTCAAATAACATTGGAATAATCTTCTCCTTTTGGTGCCTCAAATTGATATCGTTAACGTTATATGCTTTCCGTGTGCCATCTCCGTCTTCTATGACATTTTTAATAGTACTTGCATATTCAAGATCAAATACTGAACTTTTGTTAATACTGAAGGTATGCAGCTGCGCCACATGAAGTACGGACAGATTGGGCTAAGTTCACCAAAGATTATTTCCTAAACCGGCCAACCCTTGTCTCAGTCTTCCTCCTCATAGATGCTAGCATCCCTGCAAAAAAGATTGATCTTGAGTATGCAAGTTGGTTGGGACAGAATCAGGTGATTCAGTTTAAATTATCTCCATTCCGATTTTATGAACAATGAAGTTGTAAGATCACATCATGTGAATATGAGGCCTCCTTTTGCCATGTGCTCAACATTTCAAGTTCTGAATTCTTTATGTTGTTCCTTGTTTGCCTTTGCACTTTCTGTGTGATTGTATGAAGTATTATTTTTAAACTTTCTACTCCAAGACCATACCTCATTATACTCAATATTAGAGGAAAATGGATTACTCCCTTACTTTGGATATCATTTTGCCCCCACCTAAGCAATCAATTCAGAAACCGCTGACCAATTTGGTTTTTGAAAAAAATATTGATGTTTTTCTGTTTATTTATGAAGACGCTTTTCTAAATTTTGTGTTGTATCGTGGGTGCTCTTTTTCAGATCCCAATGACACTAGTTTTCACCAAGTGTGATAAGCGGAAAAAGAAGAAAAATGGAGGGAGAAGGCCTGAAGAGAACTTGCAGGATTTTCTAAAGTTGATACAGAAGTTCTTCCAAACTGTACCACCTTGGATTATGACGAGTAGTGTCACCAACCAAGGTCGAGACGAGATACTGTTGCACATGTCTCAGCTGCGAAACTATTGGCTCAAGCATTGAGTTGGGAACTATTGGCTCAAGCATTGAGTTGGCAGCATATGCTTAATAGGTCCTGTGACTCTAAATTTTGTCCAACATCTCTACACTAACCAGTATTGGCAACTATTCACAGAAGAGAGTCATAAGTGGAGGTTAAGCGCAAGGGCGTGCAGGTTGCCTTGGAACTTAGAAGCCTGAGTTACTGGAATAAAGGGGACAAAAGAGCCTAGTGGTGGCTGCTTTAATCAATTCTTGTTATTGTTATGCCTTCTTACAACTAGTTATCCTTCTCGCATTCCTGGTCAGAGAGCCTGGCACTAGGGACACTCAAAATGAGAATGCCCAAGCAACAAGATTGTCACTCTTTGTATATAGCTCTCTTTTTCTTTGACCCATGTAATGTATGCTTTGCCAATGAAATGGACCAATAGAAATGCTGGCAATATTTATTTCGTGACTTGCTAATAAATGTCTTTTGATCTTTTTATACCTAGCGTCTATCATATTACAATTGTATAGCATGAAAAGTTCTTAAGAAATGGACAAAACGGAATGTTCTTGAAGGTTTGGACCAAAGTTAATTTGCTTGAGTTCTGTCCTCCTGATTCTGAACAAGGTGGATATAACAATATATAGAGTACAATTTAATCGCAGCGAGGTGAGGAAGAAACCAACAAACATTTCGCGTTGCCCACAATAAATCTAACAATATTCTTTTAATAATTTAATTGTACCAAAATAAGTAGGCGCTTGAACATAAGAATTGTAAAATTCGAAAAAATGGTAAAAAAACTTTTCAAATGAAAATGGTATTTGAAATTTAAAATAGTATTTGAACATAAATTTCAGTTTCAATTTAGGTTGTTTTTGAAGTTTCGTGAGTGATTTTAGTGAAAATTTTGAAAAATAACATTTTGTAGTTTTTCAAATTTTCAAAAATTTCCAAAATGCATATTCAAATGGGAAATTTTATGAACAAACGTTGATTTCGAAAAAAAGTGATGTTTTTTTGAAAAAATCTTCCATCAAATTTTATGTCCAAACGGGCTCTAAGTCTTGTCACAACTCTTAAAGAAAAAGCTGGCTATATAGGAAAATGCATAACCACCTTAAGCATTAGGTACATAATGGCTTCGGTACAAGTCTGTAAAACGGGAGTTTCTACCAGCCATCCAGATGATTAAAGAGGACATCATTTACTTCAAATTATTACAAACAACTAGTAGCATATAAAGGACAAAAAGCAATCATCATTCGATCTCTGTCTTAAATAGGAACCACTCCACACTAACAAATGAGAGATAATACTCGAGGTACAAATATCCAAGACTTGATTCATCAGGGAATGTAAAGCAAAAAATCAAAACGAAACAGTTGAACTGTCTCTTTAGAAACTTAAGACGCTACAGCAGCACCCTTCTTCCTTGGTGTAGCCTCGGTTCCTGCAGTGTCCAAAAGAAAGACAAACCAGTTAATCCCACATATAACAGAGTTGAAGTATGCAAGCGCCAAATATATTTAGAAGAGATGCAGTTCGGGTCTATTTTATAATCTCACTTTGCACATTTAACCTTTACTTTGTTAGGACGATAGATTGATCCATCCTAAACAGAAACTAGGTAAGCTTAAATAGCCTTAGCCACAACTTAAGCAACAACTGAGTGCCATTTTGTAAATAGACATTTGGGGAAAAGGATAATTTTGTTGGATAAGAAAGAAAGCATTAAAGCAGGAATATATCAAGACAAGGGAACCTAGATAAAGAAAGGAAACAGAATCTGGGCAAAATAGAAACCCTCGAATCGAAAAGGAGATAAATATATGCCCCCAGAACAAAGCCATCAAGAAATCGATTCTCAGATCTCTGTCCTTGTAGCCGAAAGAAGAGGCAATTAGGGTAAAAATAATTTTACTATATGCATGTCCTCAAAATAGTTGTTTTTCCTCAAAATGACACTTCGAAGATGAAATTGCCCTCTAGAAAAAGCACACATGAATACATGAGTTGTAGGTTAGTCATTAGTGTTGTTCGTATTAGCTAGTTTGTCTATCAGAGGATCTGCTAAATTCAAGGTTAGATGCCTAAGGTCGTAAAATTGAGGGTCCAAGAGAATATTCTCTAATTACAAAAAAAAATAACAGACGACATACCTTCTCTGAAGTTGGTCTTAAACCTACGTGGTACATTGCGGAGGTACCTCATGCGGCCAGTTCCAGTGGTCTTTCTCCTAAGTGCCTTGACGCTCCAGTTATCTACAGTAAGAAATCAGCAAAATATGGATACCCTTTTTGTTTTCAAAAACCATCCAAAATCACTTGGATTGGTATTCAAAACTAAACCATTTTAGCTATTGTTACCAAAAAAACCAATTGGATCTCTGAGTTGTTTCCGCAAAATCAGCCACAATCCTAATTTCAGTTCGTTTCTAATGTGTAAAAGTTCCCAAGCCTTTTATTTCTTTTTAATAGGACAAAAAGGTTGCACTTGAAACAGCTACTTCAAAAACAATCTTCATGAAGCGCCCAAGTGGGGCCTCAGACCCCTTTATTTTGTTTAGACCTCGATATTTCAAAACCAATTTTTATTCGCTTACCAGCTGTTTAACTTTATGGCTGGGTAGGCCATCTCCCCTTTTCTTTTTCCAATTAAATTACCAAATTTACCAAGTTCCCTTAATTGCACAAAAACATTAAATAAAATTCAGCAACCGGAAACAATTTGAGAAATCCAAACCAAACAGACCCTAAGTTTGATGAGATTAAACACTACCTCTTATCAACTGACAATAGATTACGTCAATTTTAAACAGCCCTTCAAACAAATTTATCATCCCCAAAAGATGCTAGATCCATTAAGCAACGGGCAATGGCTACAAAAAGAATCACAGAAGTAAACCAAGAAACCTAAATCCTATGCACTTCCAGACCCATTTCCATTATTCCATCATTTTCCCCATTTCCTTCATCAAAATCAATGTTGGACGATAGTACAAAACCCCCAACTTTTTGACCTAATAGCAAAATACTAGCTCAGTAAAACTATCTCAATCAGTTATCCTATAATTACTTCTTTACACAATCACAACCTTTTTTCTAATCCAGACCAAACAAGCTCATAAGCAACTAAAAAATACATCAATTTCTAACATTAAAACATCTCTCAATAATTCCAGTTCCAATAAACAAATATCAAAATCAAAAAGGGTGCTTAAATTATGAAAAAAAACATACATTTTCTGAGACGAGCAGCAGGGTAAGCACAAGCTGAACAACGACTCTTCTGGATGTGGAAGCTACGACGACCACATCTCACACACAGTGTGTGTGTCTTGTTCCTCCTCTTACCAAAACTACCTGTTCCTTTTCCCTAAATACCATTCAACAACAAAAAAAAAAACTAAACATATACAAAATCAAAGTTGAATAAAGAGTCGATAGCATTCGTAGATTGGACAGTTACCATTTGTGCAGCGGATGTGGGAAAACCTTAAAGCTGGATAAATTATGCGAGTCGAAAAAGAAGCAGTAGGGTTTTAGGGTGTTCGTTTGTTTTTATTTGGTTTTCGTTTTGCGAGTTGGGCCAGAATTGAAGTCCATTTGTTGCTTTGTTCAGGCCTTCAACTGTTAGGTTCTTTTCTTTAGGTGGGTTTACAGCATTGGCCCAGTCTGACTGGACCAGGTCCAAGCCAGTACGCCCAACTTTGCCAGTAAAAATTGCATGGGGCGTCCTATTTGATCGCCCATTTTTAATTTATACCCATTTTATTTTTCCGTTTGCATCCGTACTCATTTTTTTTGTTAAAAGCGTTTTAAAAAGATGATTTTGCCCTTCTTTAATAAAAGACTATTGACAAACTACAGGACAAAAACTTAAGCATGTTTAGGTTGAAGTTTTATCAAATAAACTAAAAAACTTCAGCTTGTTTAGACTGAAGTTTCGGATAAAATTCAGGACAAAACTGTAGACCGCGTTACAAAATTTCAGCATGTTTTGGTATGAAATTTTAGCAAATGAACTAAATAACTTCAGCATGCATTAGCAAAAATTCTTTAGAAAATACATACTGCAAGACAAAAACTTAAGCATGTTTAGTCTGAAATTTTAGCAAATGAACTAAAAATTTTTAGCATGTTTAGTCTGAAGTTTTAACAAATGAACTAAATAACTTCAGCATGTTTTGTCTGAAATTTTAGCAAATGAACTAAATAACTTCAGTATGCATTAGCAAAAACTCATTAGAAAATTACATACTACAAGACAAAAACTTAAGCATATTTAATCTGAAGTTTTAGCAAATGAACTAAAAATCCTAAGCATGTTTAGTCTAAAGTTTTAGCAAATGAACTAAATAACTTAAGCATGTTTAGTCTGAAGTTTTAGCAAATGAACTAAATAACTTAAGCATGTTTAGTCTGAAGTTTTAGCAAATGAACTAAATAACTTCAGCATGTTTAGACTGAAGTTTCGGATAAAATTCATGATAAAACTGTAGACTGCAGGATAAATAACTTCAACATACATTAGCATGAAGTTTTAGCTTCAATGTGAAACAACTTCATGCTATATTAACATGAAGTTTTAGCTTCAATATGAAACAACTTCATGCTACATTAACATGAAGTTTTAGCTTCAAGGTGAAATAACTTCATGCAAGTGTGATTCTGAAGATGAATCTGGACAAGTTTATGATTTTTTTATAAAGTTGCTGAGAGGAGAGGAGGAGATCGTTTTATATCTTTTGTCAGGGGTGTAATTATCATATTATTACGGATTTTTTGTGAGATGGCTACCAAATCAATAATTTTAAAAATAGGGTACATGTTAAAAGGTGGCACAAATATAGGGTACGGCTGCAAATCCCCCACGTTGGCACCATTTGTTGGGGGATGTGCACACATAGCCTTTTTTAGGATTCCTATTAAAAGAATAGCCAAACTTTGAATGCACAGTCTGAATTTAAGCCCTGACAATGTCTAACTTCATAAACGACAGCCTGAGCAGTCTAAAGTTGTCAAAACTAACTAAACTTTAAATAATTTTTAAAAATTAAATATACTTTAAATAAAATTGGTTGAAGCGACTAGCTGGTGTCATTTCTACACATTTCTTTTTGGTTAATGTAAGTTTAAAATATGAATTATTCAGATCTTACTGGTCAAGTCATTAAGTGTATTTGATTTTTCCTTTGCAATTACTTATTTTTTCTAAATAGGTTGAAACGGCTAGTTGTTTTATGTATTTGAGCCACATTTTTCCTATTTGATACGTTACGTACGTGTGTTTGTTGTACGAAGACTTGTGGGGGATGTTTGGGTTGGTTTCAGAAAGGTTTGAGAATGATTGAAACACTAAGTTTTATTTTGGGAAGCTTAAGTTGTTAGAGTTGACCAATATTTAATTTTTGAGTAGATGACCTCGGATTAGTGATACTTAGGCATATGTCCGGATATGGATTTGGATATTCCTATAATGTTTTGGCTTTATTTAC